CGTAGAGAGGCAGCGACGACGACGACGACGACGACGCCGCCGCCGCCGCCGCCGTCGTCGCCGCCGTCGTCGTCGTCGTCGTCGTCGTCGTCGTCGTCGTCGTCGTCGGCGTCGTCGCTGCTCCTGCTGAGATTCTGTGCGTGGCAAGCTCTGGGGGGCTGCGGCCCCGCTCCCGGTGTCCCACGGCGGACAGAAGGCACGCGCGCGCCTCGCCGCACGCGCGGCCGGCATCTGCCCCATCGCCTGCTCGGCGTCGCTCGGACGTGCGCATTTCTTTCTCGGCGAGATCCATCGGGGACCATTCTTAGGGGAACAAGAAGTGACATAAACACAACAACTCAGAGGTCCGCGCAGATTTCTCGGATCGGCGCTGGGCCCCCCCGGCGGCGCCTCCGGCGCCGCCCCTGGCGCGCTCCGCGCGCATGGTGGGGACCCACCAGACTACGTGAAGTTGTGCAGGCTTGAGAATTGCTACTCCAGATTTCGTAATAAAGGGAGGGGGGTCTCATTTCGGGGGGGGTCTCTTCCAGGCTATCTTGGAGGGCCTGGGGGGGTCTGGGGACGATGTTTTGGAGGGTCCTCCCACGGGGGGGGTCGGAAATGGCTTGTCTTGGAGGGTCCAGACCCCCTCCCTTTTATTGCGAAGTCTGGAGTACCCAGGAAGGCCTGACAAAGATTGTGTTCTCGGTGTCGGATCAGGGGAAGGGAAACATCCGGGGGGGGGCGCATGCCGTGTCCCCTGGGGGCCCAGATCGCCCGAGGCCGGGCCCCCCGCGGGGTACGTGGAAGAAGATCCGAGTGCCTGGATTGACGTGCTGAAGGCCTATAGTCAGGAGGAAAAGAAACACACAGACACGATTAATCGTCGATTCCCAGAAAATATGGGAAAATATGGGAAGTGGGGGGGAAGACAGAAACCCAGAAAATATGGGAAAATATGGGGACTAGTTTTATTTGTGTGTATTTATTTGTGTGTCCTGGGGCCCCTTCATATAGATGAGCAGCGCCAGCCTGATCTTCTGCTCTGAGGTGCTGCGCACCGCGCCCGCCCCCGAAGTGAGCGAGGCTGTGCGGCCGTGGCACCCGCGACACACAGTCGGGGCCCTGCAGAAGGAGCCCTTCTCGTCGGGGAGGGGCCCCGCGTTCCCGAATTGTTTCGCAGCCTGCCTTGGGTTGTCCTTAGGTTTTCGATGGGGAACCGAAGTTCATCTTATTGAAAAAAGGGGCTTCGTTCCTTATTTATCAGGAGGGGAAAAAAGTACACAGACACGATTAATCGTCGATTCCCAGAAAATATGGGAAAATATGGGAACGGGGGGGGAAGACGAAACCCTAGAAAATATGGGAACATATGGTGAATCCTTTTATTTGTATGTATTTATTTGTGTGTCCTGGGGCCCCTTCACTCTCCTGCTCCTCGCTGCGCTCCTCTCCGTCCTCTCGGGCCCTCGGCCTGCCCGTCGGCCCCCCCGTGGCCCTCGTCGGCCCCCTTCGTGCGGCGGTTCTTGCGGGTCGGTTCGTTCTGTCCCCCGTGTTCGGTTCGTCGGGTGTGTGGAGTGGCATTCGTGGCCCTTTTTACCCAGTGAGCCTACACGAGAACAGAGCATTGCTCAATGGCTGCGTGCTACTACTCCTCCTCCTCCTTCTCCTCCTCCTCCTCCTCCAGTTCCTAATTCTCCTCTTCCTCCTCTTCTTCCTCTTCCTCCTTCTCTTCCAGCTCCTCCTCCTCTTTCTCCCCCTCCTCCTCTTCCCCGCTCGTCCTCCTTTTTCCCCCTTCTCCTCCTCCTCTTCCTCCTTCTTCTCCTCCTACTTGTCCTCCTCCTCCTCCTCCTCCTCCTCCTCCTCCTCCTCCAGTTCCTCCTCGTCCCCGCTCCTCCTGCTCCTCTTCCTCCTGCTCCACCTCCTCCTTCTCCTCCTCCTCCTCCTCCAGCTCCTTCTCCTCCTCCTCCAGCACCTTCTCCAACTCCTCCTCCTCGTCCCCAGCACCTTCTCCAACTCGTCCTCCTCCTCTCCAGCTCCTCCTCCTCCAGCACCTTCCCCTCTTCCTCCCCTCGCCAAGTGCTCCGCCGTGCCCGCCCCGCTGCAGGTGCCCGGCTGCGGGCCCGCCGTGCAGTCCGTGAGGTACGACGAGCAGGCTGGGCGCCCCGGCTGCAGGGGGACGGGGGAGGAAGAGGGAGGAGGGAGTTCGAAGGGGGAAGCAGGGAGGAGGGAGGAAGGAAGGAGGAGCGGGGAGGGATGAAGGAGTAACGTGGACGGAACAGGAGGAGGCGGGGGAGGAAGAGGAGGAACAGGAGGAGGAGGAGGAGGAGGAGGAGACGGATGAGAGGAGGAGGAGGAGGAGGAGGAGGAGGAGGAGGAGGAGGGAGTTCGAATCGGGGGCGGAGAAGAGTGGGGTGATGACTAGGGGGGGGTGGATTTCATGGCGCGGGCCATGATATCTCCCCAGATCTCATGGCGCCTCTTCTTGTTTCATTACGTCCCTGGCCCCCCCGCTGGGCCG